TCCGTGTCTATTTTTAGGCTACTCTATTGAAATTTTGGGGGTATAAATGCCCTGATTTACAATCCGGCAAAATTTTCCACTCTCATCATGTCATCTTTCATGAATCCATTTTTCCACTTAAAACTTCTTCTAATTCTAGTGATTTTAATAATTTTCCTCACATGTCCCCATCTTTCTCTCCACTAGATCTTAGTAATAGGCCAATCTCGCCTTGTCGTTCCACACAAGTAATGTCCCATGGTGCCATTCACAAGACTGTGCCATCGTCGAAACCTGCTTGCGAATCCCAAGTACTTACTTCTGACTTATCCTCACCACCACCATCACCCAATCGAATTGCCTTCTCTCCACACACACTTGTAGGCTCACCTTCCTCATCTCCCTCTTCTTCCTCGGCCCACTCTAACTCATCTAGCCTATCCACCTCATCTGGTTCTCCTAGCCCTCCCTTGGCCCCACCCCAACCTTTTCAAACACACCCTATGGTTACTCAAGCTCAAAACAACATTTTCCAAACCCAAGCAGCTCTTCCACACTACTCCTCACCTTGCTACCACCTCCTTAGAGCCCACATATGTGTCCCAAGCCTTGAAAGCACATGTTTGGAGACACGCCATGTTTGATGAGTTTACTGTACTGGTTCGACAAGGTACTTGGGAATTGGTGCACCCTTACTCTTGATCAGCATCTTATTGGTTGTAAGTGGGTTTTTTGTGTTAAAAAGGGCAAAGGTGGCAGTATTGAGCACTATAAGGCGCACCTTGTGGCCAAAGGTTTTCATCAATGACCTAGTTCTAATTATTTTAACACTTTTAGTCTAGTTATTAAACCAACAACAATTCGGACTATTCTATCTCTTGCTATTCGTCGTGGATGGCTCATTCAACAATTGGATGTTAATAATGCCTTTCTTCATGGCAAATTAGAGGAAGATCTATACATGCAGCAATCTCCTGGTTTTGTTGACTCTAACAAACCTCATTTTGTTTGCAGGCTTAAAAATCTCTTTATGGATTAAAGCAAGCTCCACGGGCTTAGTTTCGGGAATTAAAATCTTTTATTTTATCTCAAGGCTTTTACAACTCTAAATCTGACAGCTCTTTGTTTGTGTATCACAAAGACTCTAATTGGCTTTATTCCTTGTGTACGTTTGATGATATTCTTCTCACAGGGAATGACTCCGGTCTACTATGCTCTCTAGTGCACAAAATGGGGCAGTGCTTTTCTCTTAAAGATCTCGGCCCTCTCACCTTCTTTTTGGGCGTTGAGGCTATTCATACACCTGCTGGGTTATTGCTCTCTCAACACAAGTACATTTTTTATATTTTTCATCGAGCTAACATGGATTCTGCGAAGCCTGTTTCCACACCACTTCCTTCCTCGACCCATTTGAGTTCTTCAGCAGGTTCGGCTCTTTCCGATGGCTCTGACTATCAACATATCTTGGGTTCTCTTCAGTATCTCACTCTTACTCGTCCGGACATTTTGTTTGCTGTCAGCCGACTGTCTCAGTACATGCATCAACCCACTGATCTCCACTGGCAAGCCTTGAAACGTGTTCTTCAATATCTCCGGGGTACTATTTATCACGGGTTGCTTCTTCGACCGCAATCATCTCTTTCACTACATGCCTATTCTGAATCTGACTGAGCTAGTGATTGGGACTCATCTCTTTCCACAATTAGTTATATTGTTTTTCTGGGGCCTAATCCAATCTCTTGGCGGATTGCTAAACAGCGGGCGGTTGCTCACAGTTCCACTGAAGCAGAATACCGAGCTCTAGCTGCCACTGCTTCTGAGTTGATTCGGGTTCGCAATCTCCTTTTTGAACTAGGCGTCTCTGTTCCTCACTCTCCTGCCATCATCT